TTTTTAATCAGTGTATCGATCTGCAAATGTTTGTAGTGGGTGTCAATGGCAATAAGTGACATATTTTTGCGGGCACATTCATTCCAGGCTGCATACCAATTATACTAAGGGGGGAATATTTAAAATATTCGAAATATTTTTTTTTAATTCCCTATATTTTACTCACCTTGTTTTCCGTTTCAATATAAAATCGGCTGCCATCTTCGCTGGTATGCCATTTTTCAACGGCTATACCGGAGGCCACAGCAAAAATTACCAAAGCAAAAATAATTGTGATCTTCATTGTAGATTTTATTATTGTTTGGAGTATATAAAAAAGGTATACCCGAGCTTTTATATTAATCCTTATCTATTCCAGTCACCACTAACCACAAACTAATTATCAAAAATAATATAAAAAAACACCACGAACTGATATTTAAGTAGCTTTTTTTCAAGAACAAACCAAAGTGTTTTTTCCCAAAATATTTTTTGGCAACCAGAAAAGGAGTAGATTTTTTAAAGAATATTTTTAGAGCATAACATAAGCCATGGATTTTTTAAAGAATATTTTTAGGGACCATTACAAGGGGGGATTTTTAAAAGAATATTTTTCAGTTCGGAATTTTTGTTTATCACAGTGTATATTTTTGAGGCTGTGACGGATTTTTTGCACTCAAACAACTACATCATACAGATTCAAAACACATTTTATAATAAAATCCCCATTTTCTTTAAGTTTGGGAATCGTTCCAGTCCTACCATCAAATAACTCTTTAGTAAAATATAATGTTTGGACATTGGTATGCACATACGTTGTATATTATATTCACACTGGCATATGTGTATACATATGTCAGTGTGAATGTACTTGAATACAACACTCTTTCATCAGACTTCCTTCCATTTAATAAAAAAAACCCCACATTTTTATGATAACGAAAAAATATACTTACCCCCATTGCTTATAAAAACATATTTATATACAAAATGTCCATTCAATTTGTATTTAAAATTCAGTTGTCACAAATACATCATGCGAGGCGTTTGGGTAATTTTACTGGCAGCCTTTTTGGGTCTACAAAATCGCAGTGAAAGTGCACCATTGACAAAATGGTTTAAGACCGATAATGCAACTTATTTTATTGAAACCGAACAAAAGGTAAATAAAAAATATAAAAAACCCATAAAAAATTGATATTTAAACATGAAATATATTTTTTTTAATATTTTGTTTTGTGTGTGTGTGTGTGTGTTTTTTTTTTGTAGTTCACCTGGCAGCAATCCTTTGCCGAATGCAAATCCAAAAATCTAAACTTATTAACCCTGAAACAATTTAATGACGATGTCCTATTGAATGAATATCTGAAACAGGCTTTTGGTAAGTTGAAAAACTATTAATGGTCCTTCGAAAAATTCCTCAAAAATATTTTTAAACCAGTGAGCGGAGCAGTATAGTCGGACGGCCGACCATATGGTACCCTACACAACTTCCACGAAAATATAACTTTATGTGGTACTACATTCTGAGCATGGGCAATACTTCGCGATATTTGCACCCTCTGGACCGACTAGAGGTCAACAAATATTATTATTAGTAATATTCAGTACAGCCCTTCTAATTACTTGTCCAGATTTCCTTCACTGTGGGTTGTGTTGTGGCCTATAAATCGACTCGAAAAATACAAAAAAAAGTTTTCGGTCCACTTCATCCCAAGACTATTATCTGATCTTACTTACTTACTTAGCTGGCTTGTTACAGAACGGTTGTTCCATAAGCCGAGCTTAAAAAAGATTTCCAAGCGCGTCGGTCTTGTGCGCAAATCCACCAATTTGGAAGACCACGTTCCAAGATGTTGTTTTCTACTTGGTCTTTCCATCTGATTCGTGGCCTTCCCCTTCTACGGGAACCATCAGTAGGATCATTTTTATATGCCTTTTGAGCTGGGGCATCTTCATTCATCCGCACAACATGGCCTAGCCACCGTAGTAGCTGCAGCTCAATACGACTGACTATGTCGATGTCCGCGTATAAATTGTAGAGCTCATGGTTCATTCGACGCCGATATTCACCGTCGACGCAGATCGGCCCGTAGATCTTTCGGAGAATTTTTCTCTCAAACACCCCAAGCGCTGCCTCATCTGCTTGCGCAAGTACCCATGCTTCTGATCCATATAATAGCACGGGTAGTATCAGCGTCCTGTAAAGTGTGAGTTTGGTCTGGCGAGAGGTGGCCTTGTTTCTAAACTGCTTACTTAGACCATAGTAGCATCTGTTGGCCATCACAATCCTTCTCCGAATTTCAAAACTGATATTATTCGTTTTATTTATGGCGGTACCAAGGTATATAAAGTCTTTAACTACCTCGAAGCTGTAGTTCTCAAGTTCCACAGTTGGTCCGAGTCTACTGGACGTCTTGCGCGTTGATACCATCAGCTTGGTCTTCTCGCCGTTTACTGCCAGACCCACTTTGGCAGACTCCTTTTCAATTTGTTCAAAGGTGGCTGTTACCGCTCGCAATGTTCGACCCATTATATCGATGTCATCGGCGTAGGCGAGTAACTGATGTTGTTTGGTGTACAGAGTGCCATTTCTGTTCACCTTTGCGTCTCGTATGACCTTTTCCAGTAGGATGTTAAAAAGATCACACGACAAACTGTCACCTTGTCTGAATCCTCGTTCGGTATTAAAGGGCTCCGATAGGTCCTTTCCTACTTTAACGGCTGACCTTGTGCCACTTAAAGTTATCCTGCATAGCCGTATTAATTTTGCAGGAATGCCGAACGCAGACATGGCTTTAAACACCTCTGAACGGATAGGGCTGTCGAATGCGGCTTTATAGTCGACAAATAGGTGGTATGTGTCGATGTGTTTTTCGTGGGTCTTTTCCAGGATTTGGCGCAGAGTGAAAATCTGGTCAATGGTGGATTTGCCAGGTCTGAAGCCGCATTGGTATGGTCCGATGATGTCATTGACCATTGGCTTCAATCGTTCACACAGCACACTGGATAGCACTTTATATGCGATGGGAAGGAGACTTATTCCTCTATAGTTGGCACATATCGTCTTGTCTCCTTTTTTGTGCACGGGACACAGGATGCTGAGGTTCCAATCATTGGGCATGCATTCATCTAGCCAAATTGTGTTAATCAGCTGGTGCATGCTCCTGACCAGCATCTGGCCACCAGTCTTGAATAGTTCGGCTGGTAACCCATCGGCTCCTGCTGCTTTGTTGTTCTTGAGCCGATTAATTGCTTTTATGACCTCATCTTGGCTAGGTGGTATACACTCTATACCATCATCTCTTATTGGTTCTGGGGTATCTTCTTCATCGCCACTATTTGATACTAGTAGCTTTTCGAAGTGCTCCTTCCAGATCCTCAACACGGTGTCTGTATCTGTCACCAGGTTTCCTTCTTCATCTCTACAGGAGGATGTGCCTGCACCAAAGCCTTCGGTTTGGTGTTTTACTCGTTGGTAAAATTTCCGGACTTCATTTTGACTCCTGTACATCTCGATTTGCTCACGCTCACGTTTTTCTTGTTCTTTCTTCTTTTTTCTGAAAACACGTTTCTCCTCTCTCCTTTTCTCCCGATAATTCTCCATCACGTTACGTGTTGCTACTGTCTGCAGGGTTGCCCTATACGCTGCGTTTTTCACATCAGTAGCATTACGACACTCCTGATCGTACCATGGGTTTCTTGGTGGTGGTTTTTGGTACCCAATTGTTCTTTTTGCTGCAGTTTGTAGGGAGTGGGCAATTCTTTGCCATTGTGCTTCTATGCTATTATCGGGACAAGAAGTGCTTTCTTCAAGCAGATGGGTAAGTTGCGCGGAGTAGGCCTCGGCTACCTGTTGTGTTTGCAGCTTTTCGACGTCGAGTTTCCGTGTTGTATTAGATCGCACCTTTGCTGCAACATTAAGACGGGTGCGTACCTTGGCTGCCACAAGGTAATGGTCCGAATCGATATTCGCTCCTCGGATCGATCGGACGTCTAAAACACTGGATGAATGCCTTCCGTCTATCACAACATGATCAATTTGATTTCTCGTTACTTGATCTGGAGAAATCCAGGTGGCCTTGTGTATATCGAGATGCTTGAATCTGGTGCTGCTAACTACCATGTTTTTTGCTGCCGCGAAGTCAATCAACCTCATGCCGTTGTCGGATGTTTCTTCATGAAGGCTGAATTTTCCGACGGTGGGGCCAAAGATATTTTCCCTTCCGATTTTTGCATTAAAATCTCCTAGCAGAATTTTAATGTCATGGCCAGGGCAACGGTCATATGCTGTTTCTAGGCGCTCGTAAAATATGTCTTTGGTCTGTTCATCTTTTTCTTCAGTCGGAGCATGGGCGCAAATTAGACTGATGTAAAAGAACTTCGCTTTTATACGGATTATAGCAATTCGCTCATCTACTGGAGTGAATCTGGAGACAAGGTATTTTATTCTCCTGTTAACCATAAATCCGCAGCCAAATTCATGTCTCGTTTCATGGCAGCTATAATACAGGGCGTAATCGTCTGATTTACTTACGCCTGTCCCTTTCCATCGCATTTCCTGTAAGGCAATAATATCGGCTTTGTACTTCTTGAGTATATCCGCCAAAGCGAACACTGCCCCTGTTCTGTACAACGTGCGCACATTCCAAGTGCAGATTCGCAGATCGTGGTCCTTTATACGTTTGCGGGGGTCGTCAATATTAGGGGGGTTTGGTTTTCTTTTTCTTTGCTTTTTCATAGTAGGTTGGGTTTTCCGAGGGTGGGCAACTAACCCGACGCCTCAACCCATTTTTTTATAGTTCTTATGGGTGAACTCGCGGCACATGTTAGCTCACTATTTCATCGGGTGATGAGAATAGCTCCCCAGGTGGCACCGCGGGGAGGTCAGTGTCCACAATTGAGATGAAAGAGGGACCAAGATAAGCCTGGGCTTCGCCATGTTAAAGCCAATCAGAGCCGTTGCTTGGTATCTATCATCCCCTACGCCACCCACTATTATCTGATCATCAACGAAAATTATAGGCGTTGTCCTTGACCATACCTGGATCCTCATAGAAAATTTCAAAGCGATCGGCGCTATATTTCCGTCCTCTTGTGTGTTAATGGGTTACTAAATAATATATGAATACGTAAGCACCTGTAAATATTTTCGTGTAACTTCCACATCAGAGTACATACGACAATGTAATTGGTATCAATTTAAAGGCCAACGACTCCTCTTGGATATACTATCAACTTCTCGGGTCTATGTCCTTCAGGGGTAAATCTATACGCTATAGAATTCCAGAACCCATCGGACATGCAAAATTTCGTGAAGATTGGTCTATAACTGTGGCCTGTATCATGTTTACAAATTATAATGGACAGACGGACGGACACACATGTCTAGATCGGCTCAGATAGTCGAGATATGATGATCGGTATACTTAATGGTGGGTCTAGGATCAATATTTCGCGGCGTTACACACTTTTGGGGCTGCATAAAGCTATAATACCCTGACAACATAGTTGTGTAAGGTATAAAAATCTACGCCTCTTATGGGTCCCTCAAAAATATTTTTAAAAAAATCTACGTCTCTTATGGGTTCCCCAAAAATATTTGTAAACCAGTAAGGAAAGAAGTAAAGTCAGACGGGGCCGACTATGTCGTATTTTTGAAGGACCATTAATATGAAAACGGATCCATAAACATGTCATTCTGAAACCTATACTTCTTCTTCTTACAATGGGACAAAATTATGTAAATCAATGCAAAACAAATATCAATCCGGGTGTCCGATTGGATAAATATGAGTAGTTTGGTCCACCATTTAATAGAAATCGCACGAAAATATATATAAAAGCTATACAAAATCTAAACCGTTTTCATCGAAACTTGTTACAGGTGAGGTTATACTAATTTCAATACGTTTTGTGCACATTTTGAGTTCTTGATGCATCATGTATTTAATATAGGAGTCTTATCCAAAACTGAACCGATTTCAAAATTTTCCAAAACGCTAGGTTATATTAACTTCAGTTCATTGTACAAAATTGTATGGCAATCGGAAAAACGTTGGGTCTTTTGTGTATAATTTACATAAAATCGGAAGAAACAATATATAGGAGCTATACCTAAGTCGGAACAGATTTTCACGAAATTTAGCACACATCATTCTATACTTAATTCATTACGATATGCCAAATTTTGTGCAAATCGAAAGATATGTACATAGGGACTTTGGTATTTCATATACATTAAATCGGACGAAAATATATATGGGAGCTATATCTGAATCTGGACCGATTTTCAGGAAATTTAACACACATCATTCTAGACCTAATTTAGTACGCTGTGCTAAATTTCATGCAAATCGAAAGATATATAGGGTCATTGGTACACCATTTACATTAGATCGGACGAAAATATATATGGGAGCTTCATCTAAATCTGGACCGATTTTCAGGAAACTCAATACACATAATTCTAGACCTAATTCAGTACCTAGTGCCAAAGTTCGTGAAAATCGATAGATACATAGGGACTTTGGTACATCATTTACATTAAATCGGTCGAAAATATATATGAACCGATTTTCAGGAAATTTAACACACATCATTCTAGACCTAATTTAGTACGCTGTGCTAAATTTCATGCAAATCGAAAGATATATAGGGTCATTGGTACACCATTTACATTAAATCGGACGAAAATATATATGGGAGCTACATTTAAATCTGGACCGATTTTCAGGATACTCAACACACATAATTCTAGACCTAATTTATTACGCTATGCCAAATTTCGTGCAAATCAAAAGATATATAGGGACTTACATTAAATCGGACGAAAAAATATATGGGAGCTAATCTAAATCTAGATCGATTTTCAGGAAACTCAACACACATAATTCTAGACCTTATTCATTACGCTATGCCAAATTTCGTGCAAATCGAAAGATATATAAGGACTTTGGTACACCATTTACATTAAATCGAACGAAAATATATATGGGAGCTATATCTAAATCTGAACCGATTTTTCCCAATTTCAATAGGGTTCGTCCTTGGGCCAAATAAGTGGCTTATGCCAAATTTCATCCAATTCGGTTCATAAATGCGACCTGTACTTTGTTTACAATTTAACATGGACAGACAGACGGACATTCATAAATCGACTTAGAAAGTGATTCTATGCATATTATCAAAAGGAACCATGTGCCTATCTCGTTTCCTTTTGCCTGTTACAAACATATGCACAAGGCATAATACTTTGTATCACAGTGTGGTGAAGGCTATAAAATCTACGCCTTTAGAAGGTTCCTCAATAATATTAAATAAAATCTACGCCTATAGAAGGTCCTTGACAAATATTTTCAAAAAGTCTACGCCTAAAATAATCAAACATATTTTATTAAATATACTCCCATTTAAAAATTTGGCATTCACATTTATGATCACTCTCTATTTTTAGGTCCCATACCAGAATTTTGGCTTCGATCTGATGTGTCTGTGGATCTTAACAATATTTTACCATCGCTGACTGAGGAGTTCTTTAAAATCAAAATGGAAAATATTGAAAGTGCTGATGTTCTTAAAGCTGACGATCCCGATAATTGTGTCCTGACAAAGGACGGTTCCGCCAAGGGCTGTGACATTAAGCACGGGTTCATTTGCATATCGAGCGGTAGCGGTGATTGTTTGGGTGGCCAAAACATACAAAATATTGTGCTGAAATTTGCATAATTTACTTATAATTTTTTTATATATAATATAAAAATTAAATTTAAAATAGTTATTTTCTTATTTTGATCTAAAAAATGAGGAAATAAATATTAATAGAAAAATAATCTTTAAAAAATCCACGACTTATCTGGTTGCCCAAGAAAAATATTCTTTAAAAAATCTACGTCTTGTGTTGGTCCCCTTCAAAAATAATCTTTAAAAAATGCACGTCTTGTGTAGGTCCCCCCAAAAAATAATCTTTAAATAATCCACGCATTGTGTAGGTCCCTAAAAAATAATCTTTAAAAAATCCAGGCCTTAAGTTATGCCCTGAAAATTATTTCTTTAAAAAATACTCATGTTGTGTGGCCACGTTATGACCTTGCCATTCCTACTCAATTCAAAACGAAGAACAGAATTCTCTTGGTAACCAATCTTTATTGGGTGCCTAGAGTTTTGACCACACCGCTGTTGATCACGCATTAAAATCATTCGACAGTTACACACCTGGTATTTATGCGAGCTTTCAGTCCAGTCAGCCAACAGTCAGTCACTCACATTTGTGACGTACATCAAATTCAACAATTCATTATGCCAACGACCAACAAGCAGGGCCAGAGACAAAGACAGGACAGGACGACAGTTGAGGCGAAAACGTTTTCAAAACAATTTGTTGTCGTACACATGTACTTACCGATCGACCGATCGTAGTCCGTCGTCCGCAATCCGTTTGTTCGTCTATCAAGCTATCGTCCATCAAAATGTTTCATGACTGGACGACACCAATGAATGAATGATTGACAAGGTGCTAAAATAGGGCATAATTGCGACATTCAAGATTCAAGACCCCATAGAGACCCCGAGAAGTTTTGGTGCATTCTTTGTTGGTTTTTGTTGTTCAATGACGAGGTAAACGATTTACTTGGAAAATAGTTCGTAATTCCAAGAGCAGCGCACAAGAACATAGTCATGGCTGCCATGTTACGTGTTGCAATGTCCACACTCGACAACACACACATAACGCAACTTGCATTAGTCACGTCACGCACATTCACACACTTGCGTGTCAGTCACATTGTTTTAGTGTCTAGTACAGATAAACATAACAAAAACATAGAGAACAACAACAAAAATTAGTCTAAATATCTGCAACAACAGCAACACACTTCAAGTCCCCACATGCTTCAGGTCCCTACACTCTTCTCGCTAGGCCATCCCGACCACTCTTGGGTGTTTTTTTTTTTATTTTCCTGCTCGCCCCGACCACTAGATAAATCTTCACATTTTTTTATAAGTTCAAGTTTATCAAGTCGACACATTGATTGACAATTATGCTGTTGATTGTTTAGCTATTTACGGGAGAAGGAGGAGGACATGGACGCTTATAAAGCAGCAATAACTGCTAATCGCTTGGTAAGTGTAAATGAAAAAAATTAATCCTTTTTTTGCTACACATGTAACACTAGAGGTGGCAATTTTTGTTCTCAGTTATGTCATTTACCAGATAAGAGATTTAGAAAGGTCAAAAACGTATTATACATATTTTAGGTTAGATCGAAGGACCATCAAACATGAGAAACTAAAATGGAAGGATCGTAGTCGGTTTCTTGAAAAATATTCTTTAAAAAATGCACGCCTTGTATGAGTCCTCTTGAAAAATATTCTTTAAAAAATGCACGCCTTGTATGAGTCCTCTTGAAAAATATTCTTTAAAAAATGCACGCCTTGTATGAGTCCTCTTGAAAAATATTCTTTAAAAAATCCACGCCTTGTATGAGTCCTCTTGAAAAATATTCTTTAAAAAATCCACGCCTTGTATGAGTCCTCTTGAAAAATATTCTTTAAAAAATCCACGCCTTGTATGAGTCCGCTTGAAAAATATTCTTTAAAAAATCCACGCCTTGTATGAGTCCTCATGAAAAATATTCTTTAAAAAATCCACGCCTTGTATGAGTCCTCTTGAAAAATATTCTTTAAAAAATTCAAGCCTTGTATGAGTCCTCTTGAAAAATATTCTTTAAAAAATGCACGCCTTGTATGAGTCCTCTTGAAAAATATTCTTTAAAAAATCCACGCCTTGTATGAGTCCTCTTGAAAAATATTCTTTAAAAAATCCACGCCTTGTATGAGTCCTCTTGAAAAATATTCTTTAAAAAATCCACGCCTTGTATGAGTCCTCTTGAAAAATATTCTTTAAAAAATCCACGCCTTGTATGAGTCCTCTTGAAAAATATTCTTTAAAAAATGCACGCCTTGTATGAGTCCTCTTGAAAAATATTCTTTAAAAAATGCACGCCTTGTATGAGTCCTCTTGAAAAATATTCTTTAAAAAATCCACGCCTTGTATGAGTCCTCTTGTTTGGGACTCTTGAAGAAATTTTTTTAAAAAATCCACGCCTTGTATTAGTTCCCAAAAATATATATGTATGTCAATTACATGACAGTTTACGACAGCACATCTCAAATGATGGTATTCCCTACAATAAATAAGAAACTCAAATATTTATTGAAATTCCCCTTTGGTTTGAAAATATTCCTTGCTGAAAAAATGGAATTTTAAAATAGCAGTTAATTTTTCAAACCTAAACAATGATCAGTGATGTTTAATTTTAAAGATCTGACATTGCTGAAGCGACATTCTAAGACTATTTCAAGTTGCTGTTGTAAACATCGTGTCACAGCATTGTCAACAACATGAGGGATACAAAAAAAAACAAAACTGCTCAAATTCCATACCCGAGGTGTAATTAAGGTGCGTACAAAGAATGTCCATAAAAATCTAAAGTTTTTTAATTGTAAAGGGATTTGTTTTGTTAAGTTTGAAGTGAAATTTCTTTAGAGTCCTTAGTTAGGTCTTATATGGGTTGGAAATGTTTTCTTAAAAAGTCCAAGCTAATCACCCACTTAGTGGTTCAAAAATAGTCTTTAGACATGTAGGCTTGGTGGTAGAGAATTATTGTTTAAAAATCCATTCTTATAGGCCAGATATTGGTTGAAAAGTATTCTAATAAAATACAGTCTCGTAGGTCATACTGATGCTGGTATAAGTTTTGTTTTTAAATTCTGTTCGAAATTATTTATTTTTTAATTTATTTTTTTTCTTTATTATAATTTTTTGTTAATTATAAAATATAATTATATAATATATACCATTCTCAATTAAATATAGTATAGTTATAGAACATAACTCAAAAAACGAAAAAGGGCATCGAACGTATTTAATTTAAATGTCTAAATTAAAAGCATGAAAGGGAGTTTTCTTTATTGTTTCTTCTTCTTCTGTTTTCTTTTTTAACTTTATTTCGTATAAATATTGCCTATTGTTGTGATTGGGCACATGGCTCGTACACTCACTGTTCAACAGCATTTAAAATGAAATATATCCATAGCGGTGACATGATGATCCTAACTTAAAACTGGACCCTGAATTTCACGACCCAAAGCGGAGAGTTCCTTTAAAAATTGTTGGGCATTCGTTAGTGTCGATGAGCCGTAGACAATACGTTTGCTAACATTGGCTGTTTGTTTTTGTCGTATAAAATCCACCAGATTTTGGTATTCAATATAATTACCACCGCCCACAACAAAAACAACAGCATCCTGGAAGGGGGCACGATTTTTGGGCATAACATCACCGCCCTTTAAGAGTTTCGGATCCAAATAGAGGAAATCATCGGTTTCGGAATTGCTACGGCATTCCATAACTTGTTCGGTGATTTTTGTTACAGGAAGATTCTATTTAAAAGGGATATTTATTATTTATGTATGTGTTTCAATATTATTTCCTTTTACTTACATGTTTTTTCACGACCAAATTCTTAACACCCTCCATGACAAACGACGAACCTTGTGACACCAGTTTGGAGAACATGGACACCGTTTTTGTACCACCACCTTCATATTGAGCCGTCTGATTCAAACTCGGGGTACGATTCATAATCGCCTTCCAGCGTTGTATATACGACAGCGATGACAAATCACAACCATTCTCCTGCAAGACTTCCTTCAGGCGTTCGATCTCAAACTCAGGAACATTTTGCGAACATATATAATAGATAATGAACAAACGCAATTTATCTTCAGGTGTACCAAATTCCGGATCTTTCAGTAGATCCATCAATGGTTTATCTAAAGTTTGCTTTGACATTATTTTCTCTTCCAGTTCGAAGAATGAATCCAAACGTCGTGATTTAATGCAATTCAAAATTGCTGTGGCAATTTTCGTATGCATATCGATAAGACGTTTCTTCTCCATTAATTGTGGCAATGAATTGACAGCATTGGTTAGACGTGCTGTGGCATCATTGACCATTGAGAATGCCACTTCGGCTTCGCCATCAATACCCATTGATGTTTTCAGACGTTTGATTTCCTCCTCAGAACTGCGATAGGATTCAAGTTCTTCTTGTATTGCCTCGGCTACCGTGGGAAAGGGACTGCCTTTGTGATTTGCCCAGAAACGATCGTTGCGATCTAAATCACAGGGTTTGGGTTTTTTGCGGGTGCCTGAAAAAAAAGAAACGAAAATAAATATTAATAAATGACTAGAGCAGTTAGAACTGAATGGCCATTTTTTCACTAAAAAAATCTCGAGCACTTTTCGTATTAACAAGAAGGGTCTCTTGGTATTCTAATGAAAAACCTTTGAAAATTACGCCATTCTAGTCTCAATTTGATATGTTGTGCAAAATTTCGTGTCAATCGGTACACCTGAAATCGGACGGAAATATATATATATATATATATATTTGGGAGCTATATCTAAATCGGAACCAATTTTTACGAAACTTAGCACACATCATTCTAGACTCGATTCAGTATGTTAATCCAAATTTCGTGCAAGTCGAAAGATATATAGGAATTTTGGTACACCATTTACATAAAATCGGACGAAAATATACATGGGAGCTATATCTAAATCTGAATCGATTTTTACGAAACTTAGCACACATCTTTCTAGACTTATTTCAGTACGCCATGCCAAATTTCGTCCAAATCAAAAGGTATAT